TAAGGGTTAATTTAGAAGCAGTTTTTGTAAATCATCGAGAGAGACAGAAGTCCTGATTTTTTTCTTAACTATCTTTATCTTTCTCTCTCTTTTTAAAAAATATCTTTATTTTGTTTATTTATTTTTATGTGGTGCTAAGGATCGAACTCAGTGCCTCACAGGTGCGAGGCAAGAGCTCTGCCACTGAGCCACAACCCCAGCCCAGAAGTCCTGATTTTTTAAAAAAATAATCAATTTACAGAAGAGAAAACCGAAAAAGCTAATAAGTATATGAAGATATTCAAGATAATTAGATACAGATTAGATTTAAGATAATTTTCAATACACTTTAAAATCACAGTAAGATATCATCTTAGGCTTGTGAGTTTGCACCACGTGTTGGAGGGAATGTGGAGAAAGAAGGACCTTGTTGGGTGCTGGCAGTGAGAAGACAGGCACAGATCACTTGCAAAGCCATGGTGTTTTGTGTCTCCCCAAAACTCATGTTTAAATCTTACCCCAGACCTCAGAATGTGCCTTTCAAAGATGTAACTAAGGTAAAATAAGTTCATATGAGTGGGTCCAAATCCAATAGGACTGGTGTCCTCATAAGAAAAGATTAGGAGGACACAGATACTGGGAAAAAACTTGTGAAGGACAAGGAAACAGCCATCAGACATCTTCATCTCAGACTTCCAGCCTCCAGAATTATGAGGAAATAAATTTCTGTCATTTAAGCCACACTGAGTGATGTTTTATTATGGCAGCTCAGGCAGACTGATACAGCCTACCTACCGAGTTAAGTGTGCACATGCCTTATGATGTGGAAACTTCATTCCTGGTTTTATGTCTCAGTAAAACTCTTACACAGATCCTTCAGGAAGCAGGTATGGAGATAAATGTTTATGGAAGTTTTATTTTTTGATGGTGGAATGTAACCTGTACAGCATCATGGACAGATAAGCACAGGCTGCCCATGGAGCACCACAAAGCAGGCAGAAGCACTGGGTTTAGATAGAACGTCAATGTGGACGTTCACTCAGAGCTGAGTGAATAATAGTTTTTATATGGCTAGTAATATATGCACAAAATGATAAAATATTTTGTGAGAATATAGGCAAAAAGATCAAATAACATTCAAATGGTTGCGTATAAGGCCAGCATCATGGGAATTAGATATTGAGATAATAAAGAATTAAAAAAAAATTGCTAGAGTCAGCAGTCAGGTTTGAGAGTCCTGGGAGGAAGAAGTGGGCCTGTATTTTTCCTGGAGTTGACATGACAAGACAGAGAAGGCCAGCCTCCGGGGCTTCCAAAGCCCTGCATGCTACTGGATTATTTTAGCTTTCCGTGAGCAAGGGGAGGAACTGAACCAGAGGCCAGGGACTGTACTCATCAGGAGTGGTTTTCAGAGGCCATGAGGGATGCGGAAAGGGGAGAGAAGAGAGGAGGGGACTCCAGAGAGAAGAGCTGGTGAGTGAGAGCCAGTCTGGCCGCCAGGGACTCTCTCCTCCCTGGACTGAGGCTGCCTGACCAGTAGTTTCCTGGCCAAGATTCTTTCCCACAGGAGGCACTCAGCTGAAGGGCTCTCATGAGGACAAGGAACACAGCTGCTGGGGGACAGAGGTGCCTCCAAGGCTATTTCTTCCTCCCACCCCAGAAATAGCCTGTGCTAGCCATGGAGCTCAGATTGTGAGCCTGGGGTAGTGAAGCCTGAGATGGCTGGGGGTGGAAAGGGAGAAGGTGACCGAGACCACCATAGTCCTGGTAGAGAGGTTGTTTCAGACACATTTTCTGAGGCCCCAGGGATAAGAGCAAGAGCCAGACGCATGGAACGCAGGGCCAACATTAGAATGAACTTTCTCACAGAGCGGTCCAACAGGGCTGGGGAGCAGTGAGGTCTCTATTGTAGAGGTGTCCTAGCGGAGATGAGATGGGACCTTGGAACATGTTGTTCTCATCTAGCAGACGTTGTCTTGTCCTAAATGCTGATATCTGAGGGGACATTTGCCTATCTCCCGGAGTGCCTCCTGTTGTGTCCATCCCACGGGTGAGCCAGACGCCGGCTACAGGAAACAGCTCGTGCCAGCTCCCATTTGAAGAGTAAATATTAGTCTTTTCAAGAGCTGCCTGTTCTCTGTCACTTGGCATGGAGGACACTGAGCTGAGGGGTGAGGGGGGGTAGTGGAACCTCTTGGTCCCCATGCCTAGATGGAGTCTGTGGTCTCTTGTCACTGCTGCCATAGAGAGCTCAAGAAACACACCTCATCCCTGCTCCCAATTGCTTGCCAAGCAGTGAGCAGCTGAACCCCTCCTAGGGGAAGTTCAGACCATGCTGTGGCCCTCAGCCTTAGCCTTGGCTTCTCCTTGGACACTGTCCAGCTGCTGCTGCAGAGGTAGGGGATTGGATGGTTTGAACAGGACCTCAAGGTCTCTGGGCCTCAGTTCTGGCATATGTGGCTTAAAATCGTCTGATCACCAAGAAGGGAAATGACCTGCTCTACTTGAGCCCCTTTGGGAGGCCTCCTCTGACCACCCGAACCAACAACATAGCCCCTGATTCTAGCCTCTCATCTGCTTCTTTCCTATCTGATCTTCCTCATTTACTACCTGTCTCCACAATTATAGCACCATGAGGGCAGGGGCTCAGCCTTTCTCCCCACTTTACCCTTAGTGTCTAGAATTCTGCACATGGTAAGCACCCAGTAATCATTTGTTGGATGACTATCATGGTGGTGATATATTGAAAACATTTAACAGACATAAATTTCACTCCTTCACTCCCGAAAGTATATTCCTCTGAAGCTACTGCACTATTATGACCTGGGGAGGGGGTTGCCATCTCTGGAAAGCAAGAAAGGAGATGGGGGAGGGAGGGAGGAAAGCTGGTGAAGAATGGGAAGGAGAAGAATCTGACATCAGTATCCTGGTCTCATTATCTGGGACAACATCTTGAAGGAAGAAAATGAAAGCTGAAAATAAAAAGTGTGTATGTCCCATTCTGTATTTGGAAGACAGACCCCCAGGCAGCTTGTGCTCTGCTTTCTGGGTAAAAATGGTGGAGTATAGATTTAACTGCAGGACAGTGTGAGTGAGCGACACTAAGCCACCTTTGGCTCCCAGAGGCCTGGAAGGGATCCAGAAGCTCCTGCATGCCACAGGACATGAGGAAGTTGGAATTGGTGGGCCTATCAGAGTACTGCCATGGTGAATGGTGGGGTGAATCTGCCATGGAGGTCCTGGTGAGGGCAGGTCACACCCAGGACCGGGCGGGGCACAGCTGAGACCAGAGGGACCTGAGGGGCCAGAGAGAGCCACAGTGGTGCTGAGTCAGCTAGGGTAAAGTGAGACCAAGCTATGAGTACCAGCAACTAATTTCAACAGCAGGGCCAGTGTGTGTCCATGAAGACCCTCATGTGCAAGGAACATTGGGGTCACCTATATGGGACCCTCCATCTCATATCCTTCTGGCCTACCTTTGCTGATTTTCTGCTGGGGTAACCTGACAGCCCCTCACCTCAACCATGCCTCATAGCCAGCACTTTCTGCCCAGAGTTCCTCTGACGCCATGGTGTGGGATACCTACAGGAACCTGGACACTCACACATGCCTCCCCTGAAAGTGTATGGGGGTGGGTATGGGCACACCTTGAGCAATAGTTGATGGGATTCAGTGGCTCATGCTCTCCTTTTATGCCCCTCAGGAGGACAATTATGATGCATGTTCTGCCAGGTCCCCAGTGGCAATGAGTCCCCATTGTCCCAGCAGCGACCAGTTCAATAATTTACCTTTAGATTGGTTTTCTTCACTTCCCTGTTTCACTTTCTCTGTTTCCTGGTCATAGACCCTGCTTTCAGGGAACTGGAGTACAATACCATTTGAATCCCTGTGTTAGACATTATCTATTGTCATTAACTTCTTCTTTAGTCCCTCCCATGTTCCCCTGTGTTGCATGGGCTGGCAGCCTTAAGACTATGTTTCCTGAATTATGCAGTTTAGGCTCTGCCAGAGGAAGAAATACAGCCAAGAGAGCAGGCACAGGGAGGTGGAGGCAGCTCTTTCTGTAGGATGGTGGCTACTGGGTAGAACTGGCAGACATGTGTTTTTGTTGTTGTGATGAGTTTTTTTTTTTTTTTTTGCAGTAGGACACTGCATTCTGTACTTTTTTGGTCATTAGTTTAATGGATGTACAATTGGGACATTGGCAATGATTTTTCTGCAAGGTGGCAGCTATGGAGTGTGACCATGAGCATAGAAGTGTGCCCTAACTCCATTCCTGCAAGTCTTCCTATATCAAATTTCCTGCATTGCGTATCTCTGCACCAAACCCCTAGACTTTTCTGTCTCCTCACACTGAATCGTGACCATTTTGGCTCCCTCACCTCTATCACATATTTCTGAGTAGGATTAGGTGGAGTAAATCCAAAGATCACACACTTACCCAGAGATATCCAAAAATAAGCTGAGAGCCAGACTCTGTTTCCTACTCAACAGTGATTGCCCTAACTTCCCTTATAGAACCCTGCTGTCTCTAACAGCTGGGGTTAGGTATGTTCCTAATCTGGGTGTAGGATAGTATGCAGAAGGTGGGTCCTGGATAGGTTATCTTCCCTATTTTTTCTTCCTGCTGGTGGACCAGGTTCTAAGAGAACATAAAGCTCGGGACAGTGACAGCCATCTTGCATTCACAAGGGAATAGTCTTGAGGAGGAAAGCCAACAAACACACTGAGAATGGTAGAGTGGAGAGAGAGAAAATACTAGGTCTATGACAACATTATTGAGCTGCTGAATTAGCCTGGGAACTGCCTCCTTCTCATTGGCATCACGCTGACAGGATCCTTTCTTTCTGAGGCACTAGAGGCAGACCCAGAAGTCACCAAAGTTTCTTCTATGTCGACATCCTGCAACTCAGGGATGCTGGGACCCCTGGGAACAGAACTGGGACTAAGGTGAGATAAGTGAGCAACTTGCCTCAGGTGCAGAATTAAAGAAGGTGGAAAAAACAACAATAATTCGGTAATCAAGGTATATAATGTTTTAATGCAATAGTTAAAAAATCAAAATTAATGAAAAAATACATGATGAACAAAATATCAAGATTTTAAATACAGACAGAATCAGTATTGCTAACTAGATCTGCTCTTCTTGTGTTTTCACAACAGGGCATGCCCAAGGATCTCCCCTTCCCAATCCATACAATAGAAGAGTTAGGGTTCTGGGATGTGGAGAACAGGGTTCAAGGTCAGGCTCTACCAATGCCTTTACTGGTGATCCCAAGCATATCCCTTCCCTTCTCTGGACTTCATCTGTCATGCACGGAGGCTGGGGCTTTGCCAAGATGGCCTCCTGACCTGTCCTCCTTGTCCCCATGGCCTGTTGAAGTTACTGTCCCTCTTCCTGGGAGGCTATGTCTCCAGGGCCATTGACTCCTGGCTATTAATATCTCAACCATCCCTGCCCCAAGCAGGGTGTTTAATGACTGCCAGCTGTGGCTCCGGCCCCCTCCCCCAGGAGAGATAAGGGCAGTTCCTGTTCCCACATGGGGGGAGAAGGGGGACTCTGGGTCACTGCTCATTAAAAACAGGCCCTGGGCAAGCAGTGGAAATGACAGAACTGATTCTGACTCCTCACCCCACTCCTGCCCAGCACACTGTGTGGGGTGTCTAGGGGTACATACCCCTGCACATGCTCCCCCATCATGGCCATCCACATTTCTGCCTCCTCAGGTCCTGATTTCAAAAGTTTTGGGGCTTCTCCCCAGATGTGCCACATACATTAAATTCAGCATGTCCCAAACCATGTCATTCTCTCCCAGCTCTCTTTTTCCTCCCTTGCCTGGTTGATGAACTGGAAACCCTCCCCAGATCTGACCCTTGGGCCCTTTTCAGCAACCAGAGTGGCCTACCACAAATCCCCTGACTTCCCCTCAACCTCATTTGTGAACCCTCCCCTTTGTCTTGCTAGACAGAGCTCCCAGCATCTGCTCACCTGGATTTAGGTGTCCCTGGCGCCCAACAAGCCTATAGATTCGGAGATCTCTACCTAGTCCTTAGAGACCACCTCAGTGTCACCTCAACTGAGAAACTGTTCTCCATCAATTCTGCTGGCAGACCAGAAAGCTTCGTTGGATTGCCTGTGCCCTGGAGTGGCAACAATTATCCACATGGTGGCCTCTCCGGCAGAGGGGATTGCAGCTCTCTGGGCTGGGATGGTGGGGGCGCCTTGACTAACCTGAGCTAACTGGCCTTGACTTCAGAGTCTGGGGTCAGGGCTCGGTAGGGAAACAGAGTCTAGCCTGTGGCCAGTCCAGAGGCTGGGGCTCTTACTTAGGGTTACAGCTGGGTCAGAGGCATGGTTCATGTATGGTAGAGGTTAGGGGCTTGGTCTGAGGGCCAGGCCCTGTGTCTCCTTAATCCCAGACTAAACCTGAGGACCAGTCCTGTGGCTATACAACTTCCTCTTTTCTTTTTTTTTTTTTTTTTTTTGCATCTCACTCTGAATAGAGCTCAGGACAGAGTCTACTTTCTGGGTCACTTGGCCTCCTGAAGAGGGACCTGCATGGAGATATTGAGGACAGCCTTGGTGAAGTCCTTGAAGCACCCACCAGGTGGCAATAGAGATGAGTTAGCCTGGCTCCACAGTTGCCTGACCAGGCAGGAGAGGGACTTGGGAACTAGGGTAACCCGAGAGGTGAAGGGAGAAGTTCCTGCTCAACTTCATGGCTGTTCTCAGCCTGGGGTGTCTGTGTTTTCTAAGCCTTTCACCTGAGACTGTTTCAGCTTCTTCCCAGCTGGAATGCCCAGCACTCTGCTTCTCACCTCCTGTCACCTCTCTGAACAGGATCCCCAACTCACTTCTCACTTTTGTTGTCCACATCTTGGGTCTCTCTTCTTAGTTCACTCCCTGCCTTCTTGGATAATACCTGCTTCCCCCTCCAGGCTTCCCTGCCTTACCCTGAAGCCATGAGAGGATTTCAGGCACTGTGGTGAATGGCCCAGGTCCAGCTCCTGCATGGGGCTCCTCCTGACCTTCACACAACTCAAGCAGTCCATGGGGTTCTCTCATTTGGTGGGATACATCTTGGGATGTTACTGAACAGGACGGGCTTTATAGGAAGCTTGTAGGCAGATCTGAGCCTTTGCCAGTCCTTTCTGACCTCTTTTTACCAGTTTGGCATCTGTCACTGGCTCTTCCAGCAAAACAAGCTCTTTGCAAATTTGCAGAGGTGGAACCCAAAGAGGTCAGCTTGGGCAACAGCTTTGGAGGTATCTCTTGCTGACAGATGTCATACTGTCTCTGGGTCTAAGCCTTTCTGTTAGTCATACTGTCTCTGTTCCCTGTCTCATGTTGGTGACATTTATTCTGTCCTCTATCTGCTCTTGGCTGAACCCTAGGTAATGGTTATATATATGATCATTATATTTCATGTTTCCTTCTTGCTTTCAGGAATGACTGTGGCCTGTGAAATTTTACCATTTCTAGGACCATGGGCAGCTCTGTCAGCTGTATTGTATTGGTCCAAGACTAAAATGGTCTCCCCTTGGGCTAGATTTAGGGGGTTGGAGTCACAATGTGGATGTGTAATAACTTTATTGCACTCATAAAAAGAGAGAGGATACAACTCAAAAAGTGATTTGAAATCCCTCAAAATTTGTGCTCCTCACACAGAAACATGGGATTCCTATCAAAAACCAGAGGGATGGAGGCATCTGGCTTCACCTCTCTTTGGAGTAGGGGGAGACGCTGTAAATAAGAAGCCAGGCCACATAGGAACAACAACTACCAGGGGGAACCAAGCCAATTAAAGTCAACATTTATTGTTGCATGAGCCTGTTGCAGTCGGAAGGGATCTTCCAGCACAGGCTTGGATGAGAAGCTGCGTGGCCACATGGGTGAATGACAGACATAGTATACTCTGACCACCAGACTGTTGTGTCGAGACACATGGGCTAGAGGACTCAGCCACAGTCCATGAAGGTTGGGGTAGTGATGGGGATTCAGGAATAATGGCAATAACAATATCAGTGGTAATACAAAAAGCCAAGAAGATTTAGCTGGTTACAATACATAAAAAGGTAGTAAAGTAAGAGTCTTATGTTTTCACTTCTCCATCAGCCAGATCTGAATTCAATTCCTGTCTATAAGACAGGGTGAGATACCTGCTCTCTCTGAGAGAGAGTCTCCCATCTGTGAAATTGGGAGATTAATTCCTGCCTGGCTGGGTTGATGTGAGGATTAAAGGGCCCATGAGTGCACATCTCTGAGCCTAGTTCAATAGTTGGCACATAGGTGAGCAGCCAAGGAGAAAAGATCTTGAATGCTTTGGTTGTGCGTAAGGCTGGTGTGACTGATCCTACTTTATAGATGAAGCCATGGAAGCTTGGAGAGCAGGTGGGCTTAGTGTTAGGTCTCAGCATTTGCTGATGCAGTCTCCTTCCTTCCCAAGGCCCCAGAGTTCCTCAGTCCTTGGGTTGCATTGCCCAACCTGATAGATGCTGGAACCCACTCCACTTCAGTGGGTCTCACAAAGATAGCTGTGCTCCCTAAACACAAACTCCAAACCACAATCTTATCTGCCCGAGGTAGAGAAACTCACTCACCTGGAGAGATGGCAGGTAAGAGGGCATCGGGGAGGTGGGGGGCACTGCCTCTTCAGGAAGATGCCTGCATGGCAATGCTTAAATTAAAGGAGTTTGACTGCAGTGGTGGAATTTCAGGCATCATAAGGGTTGTGGTGGTGGATGATCTGTAGGGACAAAACCTCTTTGCCCTCAGATGACAAAAACTTTGAGGATGGGTAGTTTCTTTGCTCCGATTCGATTTGTCAGAAAAGACCACGGGAGCAATCCGGAGGAGAGTATGCAGATTTCTTGCCTTTGATCGGCAGGGGACCCTTTGGAGGAGGAAGGAGTCTGATGATATTTCCATCGCATCCTCCAGGGGAGGAGCTCCCAGCTCTCCAGCCCACGTAGAAGTACTGCAGAGGTGCAAAAGTTCTACAGGAGTGTTTGAACAGGGCTCCAGGGCAGCCTTCCAGCCTCAGCCTGTGGCTGCCCACGTTCGGGCAGGCCTCTGTCCGGGTGCTGGCCATGGTGGGTATGAAGAGGCTGAAGGGGCCCGCCTTGGTTCCCCGGGCCTGGGGTGATCAGACCAGGGAGACTTCGGCCTGGAAGCTGGAGGAGCGGCGCGCGCTGGGGCTGACGCGGGTCAGCATAGAGACTTGCGTGCTGCACGTGGCGCCGCTGCTGCCTCCCCACGGGTTCTGGTGTTTGGGGTTCCATCCCAGAACGCCCTGCAGGTGCCAGCGTCGCCACTTCCGCCGCAGCTCAGCCTGCACCTAGGAGAGAGGAGGGTGGTCGGGCCCGCCACTTTGGAGCTTTCTCCACTCCACGGGCCAATTCTGCTGTTGTCTATTTAGGGTGCTGAGCCAACCAGTCATATCCTCTTTGGAAGTCTAAATTGAGACACCCAGATGCTGTTTCTCGGGCTGTGCAGAGTTGGGAACGTTTTGGGGCCAGGATCAAATCAGGACCTTGGAGTGGGGGGAGGTGGAGGCAAAGAGGATCACAGAATGCAGCCTAGACTGCAATGGTGGAATTTCAGGCACCATAAGGGTGCTGACTGGGGGTGGCTGTACCCCGGTTCTTCCCATCGCCACACTCCAACTCACTGGAGCTCATCCATGAGGATGTCCCTGCTCTGTCGCCAGGACTCCACAGCAACTCCACCTTCCCTCGCTGCCCTACCCCCACTCAACTCTGTATACAAACAACTAGATGCCTCTCCAGCTCTGCTGAGCACAGCAATCAGCCCTGAACCCAGAGGAAAGGGTTAAAATGCAGATTCTAGGTCAGCAGGTCTGGGGTGGTCTCAGAGATCTGCATTTTTAACAGGTTTTAGGTTGACACAGTTGCTAATAGTCTAATAGTGAGGTTTAAAACCTGTCCTTGCTCTGCATATAGCCCATCAGTGTTAATGGACCCTGGCTCTCAAGGTGTAGGAAGGACTTACCTCACCATTGAGAAAGCAGTAGAGGATGGCCACCACAAAACCCTGGGGAGGAAGGGGATAGCATAAGTGAGGTGGTCAGATAGCAGGAACTCCCAGCCCCACCCCGCCTTTGGCCTCACACAATCCCTGTGTTCCTCTGGTTAAGAAAAGGACTAAGCAACAAAGTAGATGCTCAACCAACACTTATCACAATAAGATTGGAGTTCAGTGGCAAGAGCCCAAGAGTCCAGGTTGAAATCCCTTAAAGCCCTAAGAAGAATGCATCCTGAAGTCAACGGTTCATACCTGGAAAGATCCCACGACGAGCTCAAAGACCATTTTCACTTCAGCCTTAAAGTTGTCTGGGAAAAAGGCGAACATGATGTAGTGCACTCCAAACAGGGGGATCAGCAGGAGCGTGGACTTGGCCAGCCTCCTGGGGACAGGGAGGGCCAGCTGTGGGCAGGTGTGTCTACTCATGTGGATACCATAGGGCCTGGTGTGGGGTTGCTGAGGCATGACATATGCAAACAAGGCGAGGAGGGACTGCTGGCTCCCCTACATGTCATACCCACATCTGTTCCTCTCCTAGATCTGCATTGCCACTGCCCTCACGCCCTTGGCCTCCAAGCCCGGAGGAAAGCATGAGAGAGAAAGTCCCTCTATTCTCATCTTTACAGAGAAGAGAATATAAAGGAGAGGCCAGTGTGGATGATGTGTAAGTGTGGGATTTCAGCTACTAGGGAGATGTTCTCAGGCAACAAGAGATCCTGGTTCTCCCTCTCCTGGTCTTTGGTTTCTCCAATCTATACAATTAGGTAAATGTATGCACAACACAGTCAAGTAACAGAGTCAGGGGCCTACTGTAAACTCAGAAGTGCTTTGGGTGCTACAAAACAGTGCATTTTCCTAATTGGGAATGAGGACTTCTGGGAGGGAAAATCTTTCCAGCTGCAGTGCCATAGGTCCAAGGCCCCTTGGGAGTATGGCGAGTGCCCAAGTTTATGCCTGGTCACTAGGGTTACTCAGTACAGCTCTCTGTCTTCAGCTTTTCTGCTGTGTCCACCTCTCCAGGAGTTGCCATCTTCCCTGGGATTGCATCCCTTTCCCGCACTCCCCCACCTCTGCACACCAATGCACACGTTCCCAGTATGCTTCTCTCATGTTGCTAAGGACCAACTCCTTCTTCACCAGTGCTCAGCAGGGTCAGCATTCACTCTAAATTCTCTCCTCTCTTCCATGGCACAGGGCTCATTCTGTACCAGTTGACCTCACAGCTGGTCCAGGCAGTGTGAGCCCATGGTTTCCTGGATGGGGGAAGTCTGGGAAGAGGTTGGTAGGGGTTGTCTCTGCCCCTATCTTTCCTCTCCTGGAAGTCAGTCCAGGGGGGAGGGGCTATCCTGGGTCTGAGGTCCCCCAGTAACCTGGGAGCAGAGGAGCTGGCCTTACCCCCTCCCACTCCTTCCTGGGCTTGGCTCCCACCCATGCAAGGATCCAGAGCACTGCCCACCCTTCCTTGGCCACAAACCTATCCTTCACTGAGGCTGACAGATGGAGGCTTTCTTTAAATTGAAGGCTTATGGGGAGGTGGAGAGTGGGAGCTGACAGCCCCTCCTCGGGGAGCGCCATCTCCAGCTCTTGCCACCCCTTCTGCCTGATGACAGCTGTTCCCTTCCCATCTAGCTCACCCACACGGACCTGGCCAGGCCCAGCTCAGATTCTTTCCCTCAGATTCAAGCCCATTTGCATGTTGGGGGAAATGAGGCTCCACGGGCACAGGAGAGGGTGAGCATGCACAACCGGATGTGCTGCTCCTCAGCAGATTGCAGACCCTCACTGGGCCTTCCCTTCTTCAACAGGAGGGGATGCTCCACCTACACGCCTGGCAGGCAGGAGAGGACGCGGTCACACCAGGGACGTGAGTCTTAAATCTCATCAGAGAGAATCACACGATTCCAGAATAGAATCCTAAATCCAGCAGCTCGTGACATTATAGCTGGAATCTGGAGCCACAGCACACAATGTCGAAAGAAAAGCCGGGCCAAGAACATTCTAAGATCCCAGGACCAGAAATCCCATGTGGCACTGCTAGCTTTGTCTTGTCTGCACAGCACGGATGCTCAATCTCCTGTTCCCGTCTCTGGGCATGCAGACCCTACTCACCTTCCCAAAGCCCTTTTCATATTTTCACGTTTCTTTATTTCTGCTTTTCAATCCTGTTGCTCCAATAAAAACCTGCCTCTGTCTCTAGTCCTTGCAAGCACAGGGAACAGCCCTCATGCCTTTCCAAGCAAGGAACATATTTACTGTCCCATGGACATCATTCCCCTTTCTCCTTGCCTATGATCATGTGATCCCGAGCCCTGGAGAGCAATTTTACAGGGGACTGTGTGGATACGATGAGACGATGCATGGAGATCCCTTAGTACATGTAAATTGCAGATGTCCTTATTATAATACTGAGTCTGAACATGGCTGTCACGCTGGTAGACTGGGGACTCCCCTAGGGCTTTCATCTGCCATGCATTTATTGCACCCCTTTTCTGTACCATGCACATGCCAGGGACTGGGTACACAGTACGAACAAGACACAGGTTATCTCTGTCCTCTTGAGCTCTGTGGCTTGACAGCGATGTGTACCTGGGAACGACGCCAGGTGAGCTAGTGGAGAAGAAGCAGACAAGGGATTCTGAGGGCAGCCTGGTGAGGTGGGCAGGAAAAGGGACACTGGTAGGCTGAGCCAGGCCATGGAATGGTGGTGGGCAAGAGCAATGTGGCTTTTTTGGTGACTCTAGAGGTTCGGGACAGGGGTTCTTCAAGGGGATGCAAGGTTTTTTGAGGGCTGGGGTTAGAGGAGGTAGGGGACAAGAGCACTGGGCCCACACTCACGAGTATGGACTGCTGTCATTCTTCCCAATATCGGGGGGTCGCAGTTTCTGAACCAGGATTCGGATGATGCAAATAAATAGGACGAAATTCACCTGGTGGAATGGGGACATGGAGGTTGGTCACTCAGAGAGGGGATGTTTAGTCTTCCAGGCTGATGGCCTGTCTTTCTGGGGTTATGCTGCCCCTCACTAGCTCTTCCCTCTTTGGGATGGTCATCTAGGACCTCTACTTCACATCTCTAATGACCGTGCCTCCCAACCCATTTACTCTAGAGGAAGAGCTGGTGGCATGGAGATGGGATGACCCCATATCAGGCAGCGGGAAGCCAACAGTTCAGCTCTGACCTAGACACTAATTTCCTGTGACCTGAGGGAAGTTGCATCTCCAATCTGGGTCTGAGTTTCTCCAACTCCACGGGGTGGGAGGAAGTCTTACCAAGATGGAGGTGAGGATGGGGGCCTTTATGATCCACCATAATGAGGAGTTGATGGTGTCCCAGCACCTGATCAGAGTATGAGCAGGGGAACAAGAGATAGTTCTCAGTCAGAGAGAGTCAGTAGTCACCCCCACTGTCCCTGGCTCTGTCCCAAGCCCTAGAGACAATGGGCCCAGAGTCTGTTCTTCCCTCCAACCTCCCCTCTGGGGGACACTGTCCACCTGCCATTCCACCCAGGGGATCTCACCCAAGTGATGGAAGCTGAGGGGTGGGGGCAGGGTGACCGCTCACCCATAATCCTCAAACTGGATCCTGATGATGGTCCACACCATGGTGAATGTGCTGGGCACCCCTGTCAGGGACAAAGGAGAGAGAAAGAGAGGAGAGGGCACAGGAAGCAAGGGTAGAAGAGCCAAGGGAGAGATTTAGGACAAAGAACCAGAGAGAAGGGGGTGAGAGAAAAGGGTGTGGTTCAGGGCTGCTGTCTGTGGTTATAAGGGGTTTTCCTTGTGCAAAGATGCTCAAGGTGGCAAAGTTGTGTGCCCATAGGGCTGTGGTCCCACCGTGAGGGACAGTCTTTTTCTAATTTTGATAGGCATCTTACGGATTAGCAGTGGCTCTGAATGTGACAGTGACTAAAGGGAAAATGGAAAGCTGATCTGTCCCTCAGAGTGACCCTAGTTGCATCTGCAGCCTAACGGCTCCTGTCCCAGGGTCAGATATTCCAGTAACTTTTATTATCCTTGGTCAAGATCCTTGTAGGCAGCAACTAAGACTGTGGGTTGGGCTGGCACCCCCCCCAGTGAACTTCCTAGGCCTTGCCCCCTCTGTTCCCAGCCTGACAGCCCTCCCTGGTACCATACCCCAGCCGATGAGTATGTACCCCCAGAAGTACTTCCGCTCGGAGAAGAAGGAGACGGCAAGCAGGGTATGCAGGTAGAGGCCCTCCACCAGCAGCCAGAAGAAGTTGGCCATGACACAGTACTGGAAAAAGACCACGGCTGCCTTACAGCCCACCTGCAGGGAGGAGAAAAAGGGGGTTCATTAGGGCTAGCGGGGATCCCTTATTACCCATAATTCTGCAGGGACAAACACAGTTGTGGCCCAGCCAACTTAATCTCTTTGTTGTTTTAGAATGTACTTGATGGTTTTCCCACCATTCCTGATTTTAGATCATCTGATGCTTTGGGATAAATCAGCAATTCTTTTTTTGGGGGGAGGGTCCCAGGATTGAACTCAGGGGCACTCGACCACTGAGCCATATCCCTAGCCCTATTTTATATTTTATTCAGGGACAGGATTTCACTGAGGCACTTTTGCTGAGGCTGGCTTTGAATTCAAGATCTTCCTGCCTCAGTCTTCCGAGCTGCTGAGATTACAGGTGTACGCCACTGCACCCAGCAAGTCAGCAATTTTAATTGTCCATCCATTTACACACCCATTAGACATTTGTCACCAACTCATCTGTTCATCTGCTGTCCATGCATTCATCTATCATCTATTCATCTTCCCCACCATCAATCCATTCCCTCACTTGCCTATATATCTCTCCATTCGTCTACCAACCTTACCCACTTACCCAGCTAGCCATCCTTTCACCTATCCATCCACCCATCACCCCACTCATGCATCCATTCCTCCACCTGCCTACCCTCCTACCCCTCACCCATCATCTCTTCAATCTTCCTTACTTAATCCATCTCTCTTTCTGCCTACTGGGCCACCCATGGACCCATTTACCATTTACCCATTCACCAACCATCCCATCCCCTTCCCATCCTCTGTCCCCACGCATCCATCTTATTCCAATTAGGACTGAAAGTAGCTGGGAGAAATATGAGGGCAAAGTCTTGCTTGAGTTTTCAAGAGTCTACTGACCGCTTGGGGGTACAGGCTGTGGGCCGTGGAGTGGGGCCAAGGAAGTGTGGAGGAGAGACTGGGACTGAGAAGAAGGTAGAGGAGAAAGAAGTAGAAATGAGGAAAAGAAGAAGAGGAAAGGGGTGGTCATTTCTCTGGGGGCCAATGGAGCTACTGGACGAATGGGTTCCCCAGGGACGTAAGGACAATGAAGGAGTCAGGGAGACCCTAGAGTAGAGCAATCAGTGGATTCTAGGTGGCCCATCTGGCATGACTGGAAAGTCTTCTGGGCCTTTTGTCCCCTCCCAGAAACAGTCTCTATTTCAGATGAAACCAAGATGCCTTGAGCCAGGGCTTAAAGCTACTCTCCTCTTCTACTCCCTTGTACCCAGAATATAGGTTCCCACCCTTCTTTCTCATCCCCTTGGTTTTGAGATATCCTCAGAGAGACGCTTCATATTCCCTCCCTAGGGAGGTGAAGTCCTTCCTTAGGCCACATTTCTGTCCCTCCAGCTGCAAGGTGTGCTTGCTTCCCTACCTTTCCCCATCATTAGCTTTACAACTCAGTTCTTTAACTGGACAATTTTCGGTGCTTTTCCTTTGCCATAGAAAAGTTTCACAAGGCTGCTAATAAAATGAATTGGGAAGACAGTTTTCACAATTATCCTCAGCAAGTGTGCTGGAGGCCGCAGGCCGCTCCCCAGGCTCTGTCTGAGGTCCCTACTGCACTTGGTCCCCACCTTGTGGAATGAACACTGGGGTTTCTTCCCCTCTTCTGGAGATTCCTGAGATTCAGCCATCATAGGTTCATTCCCTGGGGGAAGGTATTGCTGACCCTTGATATCAGGTACTTTCTCTTGGATCATTCATGAAACAATGAGTCCTTGACCACAAGGGATGGGACAGAGCCGGGACCACTGTCAAGCTCTCTGTCCCAGGACAGGGACACCCAGAGAGGGGTCTTTGGCTCAGAATCACTTGGAGATGAACCTCTTAGTGACTAGCAATTAATTCCCTAGAGGATCCCTTGACCTCCCCTCCATAGGAAGGTCCAGAACTAGACCGAGGGCAGGGGAAGAACAGAAGAGGAAGGCTTCAGAACAGTGTTTGGATGGAATCCAGATGGCAAGAGGAGCGGGTGGGGAGTAGGAAGGGTGGCATGGTGAGCAGAGCCCTGGTTGCAGATGGGGAAACTAAGGCAGGGAATTTTCAAGGCCAACAGAATGTTAGCAGTGGAGGTAGGGTGTAGGCCCTAGTCTGTGGCTGTGAGATATCCCACTTTTCCACCTGTGTTGCTCACTGGTAGGAAAGGTCTATAAGAGGAAAGGCTGTAAGATCAGGTGCTGGGAGAGGAGTGAGATTTGAGGAGCTATCACGGAGTTGGGTAGAGGGGTTGGGCATTCCTGGAGAGAAAGAGAGAGAGAGAGAGAGAAAGAAGAGGGAAGGAGGGCAGGGTAGGAGGAGGGAGGGATCGAGAAGGGAGAGGAGAGAAGTAGGGAGGAAGAGGAGATTCACATGATTAAAGATGAAGGCAAGACTGAGGGAGGGGGCCAGGGCAGAGTCCTCACCGAGCCCTCAGAACAGTGGTCTGAGTCCCCGCTGTCGAAGAGGGCCAAGTCTTTGATGAAGACGGCAGCAGCCCTCAGGATGAAGGATACGAAGAGATGCGTGTGGATGTAGTTCCGCGTGCAGTGGAGCTTCCTGCATGGGGCAGGCAGATAAGGGAGGCTGGAAAGACCTCGGACACTCATCCCAGCCAACACGGACCTGTGCTCTGATTAAAGGGGTGGGGCTGAGAAGCATGTGGGCTCCAGAGTACAGGTCCAGCCTCCAAGGGGGTCCCATCCCAAACGGTGGGCCCAACTTCAGGAACCCCACTCTCTTGTGCATCCGAGGAGCCTCAGCCAGGGTGCACCTAACCTCTGGTGCCATATCCACAGCTATAGGCCATCCTGTGGGTGACTAGGCTGCGGCAGATGGCACATCTTGACCACCTGCCATCCAGAGGAGGCTGGCCTCTCAGGAGGGCTGGGGCAGGGACTGTGAACTAGCTTGGGGTTTGACAGTGCAGAGGCGGGGCTCAACCATGGGAATGATACTCGTTGGGACTACTTTGAAGCCTAATGCCCAGGCGGGGTCTTACCTGAACAGGCTCAAGATTGCGGTGGCGATCAGAAGCGTGGCAAGGGACAGGCTGTAGCCGATAGTGTAGCCAGTCTTCACGGAGTGGTAGAACATTGTCTGCTGCTGCTGGAGGGAGGCAGGCAAGGATCTTGGGTGGGGGGCGAGGTGGGCTCACCTAGAGGCTCTACACTCTGCCTGCCAGACCCTGGCAGATGAGGAGGCTATGGCCCAGGGCTCCTAAGAAGAGCTGAGCAGTGCCCTTTGTGCCACCAACCCCCTAACACTTCAGTTTCCAGGACACAACCATGTCCCAGGGTGTGGTGAGGGTTGAAGTCACTCCCTCTCTTCAGGAGGGATGTGTCAGTGAGGGACAGAATGGAGACCTCACACGTTCCACTTGTTGATTCATCCATTCTTCAGTCATGTGTCTGGCCCTGCTGTGCCAACTCTGGGCTCAGGGCCCCAGGAGACCAAGGCTGCTGTCCTTTCAGACCTGCACATGAAGCCCTCTTTCTATGTAGCTTGGGGAGGCACACAGGGAGTGCAGACTGTTAAAGAAGACATGGGGCGTAATTTCCCATTTGGGGTTCCCAGTGGCTGGGGGCAGCAGGGTGAGAAAAAGCTAGCCTTTCTGTAGGAGACAGGACAACACTGGATCCCAAGGCTTCTCACTTGGCCCCCTCCCTCAGTGCCCTCCCTATGGACACACATGCAGAGTGACAGTCTCTTGGTAAGCCCCACTTTCTCCTCCATGACCCACATTGTGCCTAAGGAGAGGTAAGGGGTTAAGAGGGATTCTGGGGAGTTAGGGCTGAAGGCTCTGGTAGGCTTCAGAAGCCTTTTAGGAAATTACTGCTCCCTTCAAAGACAGGAAAGCTGTCTGATGGGGTGTCTTGGAGTGGGGCAGATGTCATCACAGTCCCACAGGGATGTTTACACCCCAAAGCAGTGAGGGGCTTCTAGCTAAGGACTACTGTTATCATCCAGCCTTCACATCCATATTACTAAGTGGTTCCTCAAATCTCTTCAGAGACCACCTGTGCTCTACTTGCTTCAGGGACAGATCCCTGTCCTCAGACTGAGGACAATGTGCCCTTTTCCTATCCTGTCCCTGATGTGATGTTGGGTATCTGGGGCTGGTTCTTTTTGCACCTCAATTTCCATCTGGACACAATAGGGTGATGGTATCTGCTTGCCGTGCCACCCCCAGGCTGGAACCAGGCTCCCTCAAGACAGTGGGGTGGCCTAGCTTGTGGTTACTGCTTCAGCTTCTTCTACTGGGGACAACTTTCTGTGTGCTGTCCTCATGAACCACCGTCCACCTGCAATGCACCCGGTCAGGGGGATTGAGGGGATGAGTCTCCAGAAACCCATGCTTGGAGAGGGAGTCTTGGAAGGCAGGTCCCAGGAGTCCAGCTCCTGCACACATGGCAACCTCATGGGAGGCCGAAAGGAGCATGGGTGGGCTGAGGTGAGCTGGGGGTGGGGGGAGGGTGCACTGAGGCCCACCTCATCCAAACTTGATGCCTTGTCATCCAAGCCACAGGCAATAGGGTAGGGGCCAGGCTCCAGCTGTGTCCAGCCCTCATCTGTGCAGCTGCGGCTCACGTTGCGGCCTAGATGGGAGAGAAGAGCAGGGAGGAGAGAGGCTGAGACCAGGAGGAGGACTAGTCCCTGGAGCAGGCCACAGGGGCCTGGCGGCCTCTGTGCTGGGCACAAGGCAGATTACAGTCCTATTCCCACTGACTCCTGATGCCGCCAGGCTCCAGCTGCTCTCATTCAGACCCTCAGGGCACCTGAGGCAGGGAGGAGCCCCTTCAGAGTGCCAGGGGACCTTCTGAACAGACAGCAGAATCAGATCATACAGTCCTGGGCTTAGTCCTACCCCTTGTCATGACCAACCTTCATTCCAGGGGAAATGTAAATTCTATTATTGTCACAGTCTCAACTGGATCATCATCACAGAAGGACCCCTGACCCTTGCCATGAGCTGAACACTGACCCTTGTCACTGGGCCAGAGCTCAGGCAGGAGGCCATATCAGCCTAGTCCTCCTTGGTCAACCTAGGTGGGGCTGTGAGGCCACGTCCTCCCACATGTTCAGATGTGCGTCTGGAGAGGGACCAAAGGTAGAGGTGGACAGGGTGGGGGGGTGGAGGACACCTGATAAGGGTACAGATCTGAAATTCTCATAAATGCAGAAGTAAGGGGTTCCCGGCAGGGGAAACTGCAAGGCAATGCATGTGAGAGGGCACTCAAGCAGGGCAGCACTGCAGGATCTTGAAGCTGAAACAAGTTGTGGCTGGGGCGCCAGGGCACGCTCCATCAAGTCTCTGTGCAGCAAAGGGCAGGAATGCTAAGGGGGCATGTGAGGTTAGGGGTACACCAAAGCTCCCCACTCTTCAGGCCTAGGGAGGTGTCTTCTCCCCTCAGAGAGAGGGGAGGGGCTGAATAGATAATGGGGGGGGGACAGTAGAGTGCCCCTCCCCCACAGGACCACCATCACCATCACCATCATCAACAGCAGCAGCAGTAGCCTCATAGAATGGCCAGTTTTGACCTTTCCATGTGTCAGAGTTAAACAGAGCACTTTAATCCTGCACCCACCCAAAGAGGAAGGTAACTCCATTTCACACTTGAGAAGGGGAGGCTCTACGGGGTTGGTACCTTGCTCAAGGTCACTCATAGGGCAGGGTGGAGCTGAGCTGGTCTGTTCTCCCAAGTCCTGTCAGGTAAGCTTGTCCCTCGCCTGCACTGCGGGGACCTGAGAACTTGTTTCCATGTCCAGGTGCAGAGCCACAGGAGGGGTCGAGCTGTCCTGTGAACTCAGGGAGGGTCTCTGTGCAAGAGTGTTTTAATATTTCTAAATTTTTCCCTGTGCCTGGAATACACCAGGTGACTCCATAGTCACTTTTTCTGGAGTAGGCTACAGGAGCCTCCTGACATTGCTTTGAAAGAGGTCCTTATCTTCCTACTTTATGTGTGGGGCCTTGGGCAGCTGGGGCTTGGGGAGGAGAGCCAGTGAGGAGCAACCCTGGATAAATGGCCTGGGGATTAGGTGGCTGGGGGAAGGGCATTGGGCTGGGTTTCCTGCCTTGGCAGCCTGTGCTGCCCAGGATTCCCAACCACACTGCCATGGAGGCTTGCAGGACTGAGCGGTCTCTAGTAGCCCCCTCTCAGCCCTCTCCACTTCCTGTCATTGTGGCTGAAGGTGGGCCCGGCCTGCAGCCTTCAGCAAGTCCCTTTCAAACTGCAGCTCTGCCTCACCCCAGTTCTAAGGATTATACCCAAGGCCCCAAGGCCAATGCCTTCCACTCAGGATCAATTCTTCTGGAGACTCCACCCTAGGGATTGGGTAAGTAGAAAAGAGGGACAGGCCAAATCAATCAGCCTTGAAGCAGGGGCATTAAAATGTTGGATTCCCTTTTCACCAGATGGATCAGGGCTCAAAAGGTCAGGCTCAAGGACAGAGCGGGCACCTGATATTATCACACTTATGCTTAGCAAGACTGGGTGACTCATGAGTGTCTACACAGTAGCTTCACATGCTCTGTGTGTGTGTGTGTGTGTGTGTGTGTGTGTGTGTTGGACAAACATTAATGTGTTAAGGCCAAGGATTGGGAGTTATCACTAGTCCTGCAAAAAGATGGGGAACCAAAGGCTAAGAGAGGAAGTAACTTGCTCAGTCGCAGCAAGAAAGCTACAGTCTCAAGCCAGCCTGACTCCAGATCTATCTGGGATCCTGGCAGTGGCCAAAGGGAGCCACCTTGTCCTCTGGAGCCATGGCCGCTCTAGGTAATTGGGGAAGGGAGAACAGGCGGCCTCTTTGAGGAGCCTGGGAGAGTGGCCTAGGCCACAAAGAGAGCTACTCTTGAGGGGATTTCAAAGGCAGTCACCATGGGACCCAAGGAGCAGCCAAGTCTCTGCCATTTAGCTCTGTGTCTGCAGGGGGGATACAGGGGGTGGGAGGGAATGGCCAAGGGACTTTAATCCTGAGCTAACAGGGATGCCCCACATTCTGTTTCCTCCCACTCACCAATGGCTCTCAAAGCAGTCACACCCCTCTCCTCTCCGGGGTTCTCTGTCTTCTAAAATTTGCTGCTCAGTGACTTGAGCCAGAAATTAGGAAATTTTTGTTTCTCCTCTCCTCCTCCAGGATCCACAAGTCCTGTCCCAGATTCTTTTTCTTCAATTCTCCTGTATCTTGTCTTCCCTGGCTTAGGTAGGAGCCTCCTGATGGGTCTGTCTGCTTTCCTGAGCCTTCCAACCAGATCACTATCCTGAGATAGCTAGAGGGATAGTTCTAGCATCCATACCTGACCCTAGTACTCTCCTGTCAAGATGTGTCTAGGGTTCCCCATCCAGTTAGCAAGTATAAACTTCTTAGATTGGGAATCAAGGACTGGGTAGGGGAAAGAGGGTGCCCACAGACTCTGCAGACATAGCTGACATAGACTGTGTATTTGTTTTTCAAACCAAAATAACCATCTTATTTTTTATTCTAAAAAAATCCTTCAAATATTTAAAGGTAAAAGCCCCACAGATGAAACAGGAGCAGCAATGCATGCCTGTAATCCCAGCTACTCTGGAGGCTGATGCAGGAGCATTGTGAGTGTGAGACCAGACGGGGAAACCTAGAAAGACCCTATCTCAAAAGGTCTGGAGATGTAGCTCAGTGGTAGGATGATTGCCTAGCCTGCTTGAGGACTTGGGTTTCATCTCCAAAAACCAAATACACAGATATATGTATGCATATTACAAACTAAAGAAATAAACCACCATAAACATTTTGGTACCTTAATGAGCAATCACTTGCCTAGCCAGCCCCTCTCCCCCAGGTATTATATCCAGCCTAAATAGATGACTTCTAACCCACCAAGATTTTTTAATTTTATAATTTTTTTTAGAGAATTTTAATATTTATTTTTTAGTTTTTGGCGGACACAACATCTTTATTTGTACGTGGTGCTGAGGATCGAACCTGGGCCGCACGCATGCCAGGCGAGCGCGCTACCACTTGAGCCACATCCCCAGCCCCGCACCAAGATTTTTTATCTTCTATAAGCTTTCTTTGACTTTTCCTGTAGAACCAGGTCACTTCCTAGGGGAGTTATCCAAAGGGGCAGGAGAACTTCATCCCTATCCCACTCTTGCAAACATCCCCCTTTGGAATTTAAGGCCAGTTCCTCATGCCTTCTTTGCCTCAATGCCCAGATATGTTTTCAGTCCCAGCCACAGTCTCCGTCATTTTTAGAGTGAGGTCCTCTGAGTTAGCTGTACAGGTTGTTCACTGCATGTGACGTCTGGCTGGTGAATGACAGACTAAAATTGACTTCACGTTCAGCTTGCCACTAGGTGAGCTCTGGTGAGAGGTTGATTCCACTTGAAGAAGACCTGCTTTTTTCTCATTTGCACAAAGCACCCTCAAGGTCAGCCAGATGGTGAACTGGAGTCTGAGTTCTTAAGCAAAGGAGCTGCCTAGATACATTCCGGCAGGGACAGAAGGAAGTAGCACACGGAGAGGAAGCATTTAGTTGATGCTTGGAGAAGGCTGATTGTCAGACTCTGCTCTTGGGACTCAATATGGGATCTGCCAGAGGAGCTCATCTCCTACCAGCCCAGGCCCTAGGTCCTCACTGGAGAAGGGCTGGATAAGGGGGATGCTGACCTGGAATAAGGCACACCTTACTGCTTCCAGATTCTTAGAGGGCGCTTCAAGGTCTGTCCTTCACAGTGAAGGTCATAACCCTTAGCACGGAGGGAAAACCTGGCATAGGCCAAAGAGACCATTGTTCTACCTTCTATCTCCACTTTACAAACAGGAGAACTAAAGTCCAAGGACTAAAGTCACCTGAAGTGAGGGACATCTGCTGAAACCTTATCAAGGCCCTGATCTTCCCTCCCTCCCTCTGCCTCCTCAACCCTGCTCCACCTTTAGTCTTCCCCATCCAATCTGCTCTTCTCTCAGTCCTCTCCATCCACCCAGCTCCTCCATCACTCATACACCCTGATTCTCCCTCAGTCCTCTCAGTTCACCCTGCTGGACCCTCACTCCTCCTCATCCACCCTCCTTCTCCCTGTGTCTCCCACATCCACGCTGCTCCTCTCCTCCATCAGTCCTCCTCATTGACCCCGATCCTCCCTTACTGGCTCCAAACACAGTCCTCCCAATCCACCCTGCTCATCCCTTAGTCCTCTTCATACACCCTGTTCCTCCCCCAGTGCCCTCCATCCTTCCTCACACCTCTACATTAACCATGCTCCTGCTTCAGTCCTCTCCATGACCCCTGAACCTCTCTCACTCTTCTTCATCCACATTAAACCTAGTCTTCCCTCAGTACTCACCATCCAGCCTGCTCTTCCCTCACTCCTCCTCCCTCAGTCTTCTCTGTCCATCCTGCTCCTCCCTAATTTCTCCTCATTCACCCCATTCCCCACAGAGTACTATCTTACACACCAATTCTTCCTGACTCCTCCTACTCATTGACAAACATCCTGCTCCTCCCTCAGCCCTCTCCTACCCTGATCCTCCCCAAGTCCATCTTGTCCCTCCCTCAGTACTCGCCATCCAGGCTGTGCCTCCCTCAGTCCCCAACATCCACTCTGTGCCTGCCTCT